TGCAGCAGGGGCTTTACTCTGCTTAAGTGGTCTTCCAATTCCAAGGATACGCTACTCACTAAGCCAATAGCCAACTCAGGAACAAAATTTTTTCAGTTGAAATCACCTGAGAATGTCGACACCTTAGGTCTCTCTTGGGATACGGTATGTGACAATTTAAGTATCATGCCACCCAACGATAACACTTGCAAATACATTATTTTTACCAAGATAACTATGCTCTCTGTAATTTGCAGTCTCCTTGACCCTTTCAGTTTGTTGGTACCTTGAATCATTGTATGCAAAATTTTATTTCAAAAGCTTTGGAATTACTCTTTAAAATGGGACCAGCCACTTCATGATTTAGTAAATGAGTGCATAAGATTTTTATCACCTTATCTGACATAACTAATTTATCAATTCCTCGGTGTGTTATACCTTCCAAAGATTCAGTAATTCAAAATCACAGATTTGCTGTCAGTAGTCTAGTAGCCTTCGGAGCGGTGATTTACGCAAGGCCTGTTTCCGAACAAGGCACAATTATTGTTAGATTACTGTATGCAAAATCTAAGGCCGTTCCTTCCAGTATGAAGGCCAAACAGGACTAAACATCGCTTACTATTCCACAATTATAACTTTGTGCTGCTATCCTTCTCACCAAATTAATTAATAGCGTTGTAAATGCATTTTGTGATACGTTTGTTCTCTCTGAACCTTGTTATTGTGCTGATTCCAGAATTATCCTAGATTGGTTAAAATCGTCTCCCCTCAAGGGTAATGTATTCTTGAGCAAAAGAGCTCAGTTTATTATAGAAAATACTGCTTGTGCCACTTGGAGACATGTTGATTCTGCCTCCAATTCCACAGATTTGTTATCGCTCGGCGTAAGCCCTAAGAAGCTGGAAGATAAAAAGATATGGTGGCATGGTTCTCCCTCTCTTGTTCAGAATACCGGGGCCGGACACTTTCAATTTATCAACTGAACCGACTGTAATCAACTTCGCTTCCTCTATTTATCCTTCCTCTCACATTGAAGAACGCGTTTGCCGATATTATGGATCTAATTGTAGAATAATACGTGCAATGGCTCAAATTTTAAAATTTATTAGATTACTTAGAATTGCCAGGAAGGAAAACTCCTTCCATGTTCCTACTAATGACCCCCACAGTGTCGGACGTGAATGAGGCTGAAAGTTTAGGCATAAAAATCGGCCAACAATTTGCTTTTCTTTCATTTTTTTAGGGCACAAGTGAATTTGGCTGCCCTACAAATACTAATTTAACATCATTAAATCCATTCATTCAAACGGACGGTTGCATTAGAGTAGGAAGTAGACAAGCGCGGATCCAGAGACGAGTTTTGGGAGGGGAAATTCAAAACGTTTTCGTCAAATATGCACATTAAAGATTTTGTAAAGCGTCACAGGCTACATTCAGCTCACTCTGCGATACGATTTTATTCGTTTTAATGATAATCCGGAAAAAGTTTTGCTTTAAAGTTTCGTGACAAGTTAAAATTAAGAGTAACTGAAACATTTTAGGGGGGATTTTCCCCATCCCCCCTTGGGTCCACGCCTGAGGTAGTAGAATTGTTGATGCTGACTTCCTTTTGGAGTTGTTTATACTTTAATTTTGCCTCGCAATCATCATTTAACATGGGCAATTATTTATTACGCTTACATTAAGCAATACCATGCTAATGTGCTGACTCTCATGCGGTTTTGAATCATGTCCCTTCGGAGGGTGATAACCTACCTCAAGTGCGCGTTCAGGGGAACACTACTTTCCACTCAGCAGGGGTTGACTATACGGATCATTTTTCGAAAGGTTAGGTGGGTCTAGGAGTAAAACTGCCACCAAGAAAGCATTGTTTGTCTGTATGGCAACTAAGGCAGTGCATATAAAAATTGTGACTACACAAGCTTTTCTCAAGGCGTTTCGATGGTTTATTTCCCGTCGTGGGCTACCCAACACTGTTTATTCTGACAATGCCATCACGTTAGTGGAAGCCCACCATAGTTCCTTGTTTAAATTGTAAAATTACAAGGCATTTCAGAAGGAAATGTTGGACTTCTGTTCCACCTCTCGCACTCAATGGAATTTTATTCCCCCCAAATCCCCTACGTGGGCGGAATCTGGGATTCTAAAAAAAAAAAAAAACCTGAAGCGTCACTTGTTCAAAGAAATAGGTGATCAGACACTTAGCTACGAGGAACTCCTCACTATTAAATTGCAGATTGAAGCAATTTTGAACTCAAAACCATTGGTTCGTCCTAGTGACGATGCATCAGAATTTGACTATTTAAATCCGGGACATTTTTAATAGGGAACCATTAAAATCTTTAGCCGATCATCGAGATTTTCCGCCTTCATTTCTCCAATCTTCCTGGGAGAACTGGTAGAAGGGTACGGCAAGTGTTTGGAAAAGGTGGTCTAGTGACTATCTCCATTCACTGCAACCGAGAACTAAATGGACCACCTCATGTCCTGATACCAAAGTTAACACTTCTGTACTATTAATTGAAGAAAATAAAGAAATAAAATCTATATCAGATTCAACTGAAGTGCCCACGGAAGTTGTTCTCCAAAAGGCACCTATGTCTGAGTAGTCCATCAGCCGCAACGCGAGCAAATGCCGCTCTAACAATGAAAGGGTACGGTGGGTTCCATACTGCCCATTTCAGCTCAGGTGAGATTTTTAATGATAATTTTTGTTCCTTTCAAGATATCATCCAGAAAATTTGAAAGCTGTAAAACATTCTCAATGCAATATTATTGCATATTTTCAAAAAAAATTGTCTTTTGAGTAATTGCGCTTAAAATAAGTTTTTTATTGTTGTATGCAAAGAAAAGCACGATATAAAATTGATATTTAATGAATAATGTTTCTACGTGTCTTATATATACTCACAAATTTTTAGAACTTTTAGAAACGTTAATAAGAGGACAAAAAATTAAAAGAATATAGGATTGTTCACAAGTAGTCTTAGATTTTAAGAGTGCTTTGTTGCCTAAGAATCCGTGAGAAAATGTAAATATTGTATCTCGACGATGCGTCATGGACAACAATATCCCAATATATATTTTAAGTTTGAAGGAGTCATGTGATAAAACCTTGTTTTTTTCTTTTTTCATGGAATGACCCATATATAAAAACGAAGTCGGGTTAGTTACACCATTTATAACACAAGAACGGCTCATCTAATTTAAATGATCTCCAACATTTTGGATCTCCGTCCCGAATAGCAGAATAATTATTAAAATATCGGTAAAATTCATGAAAAAACAACAAAGAACAAAACTAAATATTAATGTCAAATACAATCCGCAACACACTGCAAGATTTATTACTATTGGTCGGCCACTTTGATGACCTACATAATCTGTTCATTCCAATAGGTTGTCATCGTTTAGCTACTGTTGATTGTGTGTGGCCGGGGGGGGGGGCACCTGCTGGGAGCCGGCGCTCTGAGTGTTAATTACTGTTAGTCCCAAAGAATTAGCGAGGGGACATTTGCAAGATAGAAATAATCCGAGTTTCCACAGCAAAGCGGCTGACAAACGCGTGAGGCGCGATTTGATGAAGGTCGAGTGGCTTCGTTGCTTTTTGGGGCGGGAGTCACGGAGGTGGTGTGCCTCCAGCCTTTGTTGCAAGTGCGAGGGTGGATTTAGAAGAGTGACGCTATCACCCTTGGTCGAGTTTTATTAGGCCTTCGGGTCAGCTGACAGCTGCACGTAGCTAATGTGACGGGGGACGGGGGCGGGGAGAGCTTCGGGGCACATGGGCATTGGAATAGCACAGGTGAGATGTCGAGACATGCGGTTCTATTATTTGGGAACCAAAAATTCAGAAGAAGAAGGAAAAAAGAAAGAAATACTTTGGGCGACGATAGATAGCCAGCTGGCAAGAGGATGGGGCAAGACCGTAAAGCCAGCCCACAACAAGAAAGTTACCAAACTTTACTACAAGAAAGTTTGTTCCATTCTGCAGCACCACTCGATACTTTTTGTATACGTACGTATATACGGAATATAGCGAAATTTATGTAATGTTGCGGAAAATAGAATTCAACGTAAATACACGTTTTGGGCTGCCTTGTTACTGAAAAAGGGTTTTTTTCCAACCGTCCGTCTGTGAACACTACTAGTGCCTAAACCATGCGTAGTAGTTTTTTCTAAATTGAAGAATCCCATCCATCTGGCTCTAGTTTAAGCTCTGTAATTTTGAAAAACATTGTTTAAAATTAAGGAGTATTTAACATGTAGCCCCTGGGGCACCTTGAAAATTTTCTGAAAAACGCCAAATTTTTCTTTAAATTTCTTGTAAGAATAGAGTGAAATTCTTATGGAGGCGGCATAGGTCCCATTTTGAGGGTTAACTCTGAATTTTCAAAAATTTCCAAAGTTAGATTTTTTTCGATTCTTCTTACAACTACAAAATTGAAGATAGAGATTTTTCCTTCAAATGAAATTTGTTCTCCATATTTAGTTTTTCATTAAGGTCTTGTACATTTTTTTTCAAACTTTTACTTGTTTTCGAGCAATTTTAACAATTTCAAAAACACGATTTTCTCGAAAAAGTCTCCGTTTTTCTTTAAACTTTTGGTAGGGATAGTGCAAAGTGTACTAAGATAATTGTGAAGGTCATATTGCTCTATTCTTTTGTTTTTTTCCAAAACGTACAAAAATAATTGCAAAAATGTAAAAAGCTCATATTTCCGCATTTTCAGAAATGCTAAAACGCCATTTTCTCAAAAACTGCTCCACGTTTTTTCTTTAAACTTTTGGAATGAATAGTGCTAATTTAAGAGCACATAAAATTAATTTTGCTGTATTCTTTCGGTTTTTCAAAAAAGACACAAATTAATTATTTTTGAAAAATCTCTCACTTTGTTTATATTTGTATACATTTCCAACAATTTGTTACCAGGAGTGCTTTAAATTACTTCAAACGAAGTTTTCTGTGAAACTGAGCTTCAATATTCACAATTACAGTCACACTTATATACTATTTTCTTAAAACTAGCTCCAAATTTTTCAATGAAAATTGCCATTTAGGACAAGATTTTATTCTTCTTTAATAATTTTAAAGTAGTATTTCAGTTCTTCTATTAGGAAACCAAAAAATGGAGTCATTTTCAAAAAAAATTGGTAGCGATAGAAGGCAGCTAGAAAGAGTATGTGGTAAGTTTTAATAGCTAGGCCAGGCAAAAAACAAAACCACACTAATATGAGAAGGTATGTGCCATTCTATAGCACCATTAGTTCAGGTTTGAAGTGCTGATTTCCAGGAATATGGTAAGTGGAGAGTAACCAGAAAATTATGGATAATAAAATGTCTGTTGTTATTGGAAAGTTCTGCTGGTTTTAATCAGAATATTATTCATAGTATTAAGTTGCAAAACTTTAATTCAATCATCAGCATCTTCCATTGTAAGTAAAACAAGATTTTTGTCACATACAAATTATACAATGTTCTAAAAGAATGTTCTTAAAATAAATCATATTATCAACAAGGGCATCATTTTACACAGGTAATCTACACAGGAACTTATTATCCAATCATAAAGTATTCTATATTAACATATAAACATTGAGAGAGCGATACATTTCCATAGCCACTATCATGAAATATTTAACAAATATAATCTTGTGAAGCAAATTTACAAGTATGCCCTTTTTCTTCCTTTGCTCTCTTTTAACACATTTGAGAACAAACAATTTTCACATGATTTGAAGCTATTCCTTTATTCACATCATGACTCAAATCTCTTTAATACATGAGCAAGGAAGAGTATTTATCTGAAACTAGCCCAATATATACTGTTTCCAAGTCCATATTCACAGAATCTTCTTAATTTTCTTCTCTAGATAATTATACAGAATATTCTGTACAAAAGCATTTAAGAAGATTCACCGTCAGTGTAATGAAATTCATTTTAAAACATTTCACAATCGTGCAAAGATAAAAATGACAGTAAAGTAAAACTTAAGACGGAATCTTTTTAAGACACAAACATGCCATCCCAGAAAAAAAATCTCAGAACGGAACAATTTTGTATGTGGAAATGACCTCTTTAAGACTGAAATCTAACAAGGAAACAGAAGTTTTGCAGAATTGAAAGTGATTAATAACTTGCTAAGAAGGAAATTTATTTTTACATTTCTGGCATTCTCTTTGGAACGGCAGAGTGCGAAGTTTCATGCTCTGATATGAAAGAATGATCAATGGTTTTTCACTTATACCCAATGTCAGGGAATCTTTCTCATGCTTTGGTCTGATTTTGAAGGTTGAAACAAGTGTGACTTGGTCGCTGCCGCTCTGAATCCTTAATGTGAGTCGTCAGCACACCGTTCCATTCCCAAAAGTGTCACCATGTTTCCTTAAGTTGACAATGGAATTGTGGGAAGGCAGTCGCTGAGTTGATGACGAGTAGAACAATTTAGAGAACGCTCGCAGTATTGTGGTCAAAAGTTGTGTGCCAAAATGTCTTTGAAGAGTACTATTTCCATAATCCTTCTGCTACAGCAGAAAATCCAGATTAAATGTTTGTCCTGTTTTCCCTGTTTTTGTTGATTTTTTATTTCTTGCAATTCATTGATAAACTAGCAGAACCTGACAAACGTTGTTCTGCCCTTCATTTCCATCTCTCTCTCCATTTCTCTCTGCCTCTGCCCCTCTCATTCACATTTAGTTGCAGATTCTGCACATCTCTGAGCAGGTGGCGTAATATCATGAAGCGTCCAGCTAACAGAAACGTAATAGAATGTTCAAGATCTTATGCTGCAGATTATGGTGGTAGAAGCGTTTCTTTGAGGTCTTCAGACACAAAATTGTAGTTTTTAATGTCCTAAAGCACTTTATTTAGGAGTCATTTAATGATACAGAGCCAAAAAATGTTGCCATGTGTTGAATCTGATTTCAGTCTATTTAGTTTTGTTCTTTGTATTTTTCGTGAAATTTTTCAAAATTTTAATCGTTATTCTGCTATTTGAGGTGGAGATGAATCCATTTTATTTTGTTATGATATTCCGTTCTGAGATTTTTCTCGGCAAAAGCAGTTTTCTGCTGTAGACAGGTTTAAATGTACTTCACTTTCAGGTTTCTGTTTTAATTATGCATTATCAAGACACTTATTTTTATAGTACTTTCTGAAGCACAATGTTCTAGTCCAAAGTAGGTGATGTGAAATTTTCCCTCTCAATATTTTACTGGAGCATTTAGGTTCAACATTAAGGTCACACAGACAGTCATTGACATTATTTTTACATGCTACATCTTAATTGCACACTGTAGAAACAATTACAGAGAGGATGCAGATGACACAAAATTATCATTAAAACATTTTCACTGAATCTCCAGAATTCCACATTTTTCTGACACCTATTCAGGTTTTGTATTTATTAATTATTTTCTCACCTCTAAGGATATAATTTTAAAATCCAGTGAAACTAATCAATTATTTTGACTTTCTGGACAAAATAATTTATTTTCATACATTACTACCTTAAGTAGTATACATAAATTAATAAAAAAAATCAGAAAACTTTCAAATATTTCTTAATTCAAAAAATAAAAAATAAGTTTAATGTGTCTAAAGCAATATTGTACTCACAAAAGTTACAGAGCTTTAAAATGTTTACTCACACACACACAAATAATTGAAAACAGTTTAAATAATATGCATGGTATCTTTAAATGATTAATGAAATCAAGGGAGCTTTGGAGGCCATTTTTCACAATTGCTAGGTCTTAGAACTAGAATGTGATGTCGTCAGCTTCATGTTCTGGTCCCCATTCTCACAGAGTGATTTTTGCAGGACCTGAAATAATCAAAATTTCTCCCAATTCCATGACATTTTAGATATTGGTAGCTTTAAACACTAAATTATAAATGGCAGTGGATAAAGAAACTGAACCAACAGAAATCATCAATGTCTTGGTTTCAGCCAATATCACTTTTTTAAAAATTCTACAGACCTGAACTCTTAGTTAATGCAGTTGCAATAATTCCAATGTCTCATCTAAATGCGAAATTTATTGTAGAAGTATCTGGAGTCTGTCAACTAGTCTAAAAGTATGCATAAGCCCTCCAGACAACCAATATTGACCCAATTGAACATCAAAAGAAACGTCAATACAATATTACGTAAAATCCTTGATGTCCATTACTCAACACAAGTCAAAAGGACAAAGCTTATGTGTAATTTGGGGCCACAACTCTTAATTTTCAAAAGTTAAGACTGACAGCCATCTAAACTGGATGACATACTACACATTTTATTTAATAATTGGTTCACAATGTCTTATTTCAAATTTGAATCATGAAATTTTCAAATAATTATATAAGATGGACATGGAACAGAACTGGTCTCAGATTCCATTATGATGTTCAAATTTGCATACATGTACAGATATAACACATTAACGAACTATATTTATCATGGTTAATTTAATGTACATAAGAACAATATTATACTTTTTATTTTCTTATTGAAAAAATGCTACTATCTAAATTGACAAGTGCATTTTGATTGACATTTGGTATGGGAACTTTTAGCCATAAAACAGTGTTTCAACCACTAATAAACACCAAACAGTAATTTTTAAAACTGAAGCAATGAGGCCTCAATTTTTCAAGTTAGTCATTCCTTGGATTAAATTGCCTACTCAGTGGCTTCCTTAACAATTGGCATTTTCTTCAGCAATCTGGAAATAAAGAAAACAAAATTGAAAGTGTTAATAATTAAAAAATATAAATTACATTTACATGCAGAAAACTATGCCATAAATATAAAGATCCATGTACTTAAGAACAGACAAATTATAGTTATTTCTAATATAAATTTAATTTAATATAAATTCTTAATTAAATTTATTTGAGAAAGTTATTTATTTTCTCAAGCAATAATTCTGTTGAGAATCTATGATTAATAATATGGTAAGGAAAGAACATGGGTTTCAACCATCAACTTCTAAAACCCCACTGACAAGATCCTCCTCCCTAAAAAAGAGAAAAAATAACAAGAAAGTGCAAATGAAAATAACAATTGAACAAAGAAGAGAATTGCAGAATCAATAAAGATCAGCAATTCATAGCATTTTTTATAGGGCCTTCTGCTCTATTACCTGAAAGCAACTCCACAAATTCCTAAGATATCAGAGTTGTACACAAAAAACATTCATTTTCAGAAGACATTGGTAGATCAAAAACATCCAACAATTTAAATGAAAATGAAATATTACTAGCAATTTATATCTTTAAGTCCTTCATATAAACATACACATGATACAATAATATTGCATTACAAATGGCACAAGTTGGTTTACTCGACAGACGGTTTCAATTCATAAATTACAAATAAATAGATAATGACAGAGTTATGTGGAGATATATAATTATGATATAAGTTTAATAGTGTTTTTACCTTAGAGGTTGTTAAAAGAGACTAGTCAAGTGCAAATTAGTTCCTGATCAATTACTACAGAGCATCTAACAAGCTATTAAGCCATGTGTAATAAAGGGTTTTGTGCTAAACCAACTGCCTTTTCACCTTTTTTCTTTGTTCAAAATGAATTGTTATTTCAGAAAAAGTTAAATACAATTCCATATTAGAATGTGAATATGATGACAAATGCTTTCATTTCTTGAAAATATTGGTTAAATTTATGAGATCAGCATTTTCAGAAAATTAAAATTGAATATTTTCTTTTCTTTCATTGATTGATTGGCGTTTCGGCCACATGAGCTACTATGAGTTGATAGTTTCGTAAATGTTATATCTTGGGAGGTGGCCATCTTCCTCCCCCACTACAACATGAGAACCCACAATGATCTACAAATTGAGTTACGGAGGGTCCCCTCCCCAGCTGGAATAGGTAAGCTCTAAGCCAGTCATGTCAAACCATGCCAACAAGAGCTACTTGCCCGCCTGGGATGTCCAGGTGTCTGCGATCACAAGTAACTTCCCCAAAATCCCTTATTTCCCCTCAAAGCCAGGAAAGGGTGTACACACATAAGCCATACCATCATGAGGCAGGGGATAGAGAACTCCTAGATATGAGAAGAAGTCAGATTTGTTCTATCAAATATTCTAGATATTAATTATGGTTGCATTCTTTACTATTAATTACTAATTAATTCCTATTTCATGCTAATTTTCTTTTTAAATTCATTCTTGTGTAAGCCAAATGGCAAATTTGTTTGAATGGCAGATTCTTTACTAGTTTTCATTTTGTGTTATATTTCATTAAATCATTCAGTTATTTGTGTAGTATTAAGCAACGTGAAGTATTTTGAATTAAGTCTCCATAAGTTAACAATTTTCGCTTACCAAAGGACAGCTCTTATAACAAGCTACTCTCCACCTCGATTTTTAACTTTGGCCTCTGCAGTAATAACACTCATAACATTTATAGGTATGTTAATAAGTATAAATGGATCAATTCTTTTCTTTAGTAGAAGAAATGGGAATTAAGGTAGCGATTGAAGCAATAACAGTCAACTGATTACTCAAAAATATTTTCATAGGCCATACAGCCATTCACGTACCAACACCCCAGAGCAATTTGTATAACCCTTACTTTTATATGTTGTATCAGTTGCTGGAAGTGCAATGCCCACTATCTCTAATGAGGTAGTTACCTCGCCCAAGGGTCTATTTGTAATGGTACTGCAGCAGCACTTGCCTGGCATTGATCATGGAAAAGTACTGACCAGAGCAGCTGGCTAATTCTCCTATAGACTGGCTGAATTCAATGTAGGTATCAAACTAGTGTCGAAAATCTGCTGCTGAGACTTTACTCAGGACCTCCTGGACAGAGTCTCATAGTAGCATCAGCTGTTGGCCTGAGCTAACTGTTTATTTTCTTGTAAATGACTGAACTTGTAGATATATAATTTTGTGTTTATTAATTTCTTAAACTCCTTTAGTGACATTTTATATTGCTGTTAATTATGAAAATGTACACATACATAAGAAAAGGCATTAGGGCTATGTGCCTCTTTTCTGATTTCCTCTCTTCAATTAATGTCTGGTATTATTTTGGATAAAACATCATTATCCAGATCTCTGGTTGTAGTTCACATTACTCCCACAGAAATGTATTATAATAAATGGATAATGTGATGGAATATCTGGTTGCCAATATCATGACATATGTACATCTCAAATAAGATAAGCATTTTTGCCATCTGTGACATTCAAAATCTTTGACGTAACAGAATTACATTACAACCTGGACTTCTGAGTCACTGACTCATTCCAAGTTGTATTTATAATGTGTCATGAACACCTATTCACTAAAAAAAAAAATTATGAGAAGTTCCCCAGCTGGTGAATTTTTGAAACATGGATCATTCGTTTTCAATCTCATTTAACTGCTAATATTTCATTATTTTAATTTGATTGGTTGGTAAGGTATAATAACAATGTCAATGTAATCTTTCAAATGTATTATGTCCTTTTCCAAAATAGAATATTATTACATGAAAATTCTCCGGCAGCAACCAAACTGACTCACCACTTAAACCACGTAACATCCTCCTTTTCCTCAACTCATGAAGTTCTTGCTCATGTTTTCTTCGAATAATGATATCCGTTAACTGCTCTTCTCTTATTTTGATATCCAAATCCTTAATTTTCTTTTCTTTCTCCACTAGGGCTAATTGGGCAGATTTCAAGGCTAATGTTTTCTCATGCACCAAGTGTGCCAAGTTCGAAGGCACTGCACCAATGCCCTCATCAGGTGACTGTTGTGTCTCAGGAGGCAAAGAGGAATCTAAAGAAAAATAATCGACATCACACCAAGTTCTTTTTAAGCCAATAACATTGTTATGTTGGATTTGGATCTGAACAAAAATGAACTATTGGATCCATACCTATGTCTTGTGCTCTCTCCATTGCAATCGAACATCCGCCCACTGAAATAGCATCATCTGAGGCATCTCCTTCATCTTCCACAATCTGAAATGAAACAAAATTCAATGATAATTAGTCCAATAACAACAACAACACACACATAAGAAAGAAATGTTTCACCGAGCTGTGTTGTCTACATGGTCATAAATAATTATGTGTCGTCTATGAGTGGTGAGAGAATTTTCATTATATTGAATGCTACCATGCACCTGCATCAGCCCATACATTCCTTTCCATTTACAAGCCTCTTTTAAAATAGTGACCCAAGCTGTCAACAACTGTTTCATATATTGCATTCTCCTCACAATGAAACTACATTGCTAAGTGTACTAAACAATCAAAATATGTTTGGCAGAGAATCTCTTCTACATCAGGGGTGTTCAACTTGCAAGGCTTCAAGGGCCTCAACTAAAACAAGGTTGTGAGCGATATTTACATTACTTGAGCAATCAACACCTGACAACCCCACATCTTTGATTTCAACCCCGTTTGCTCTGAAACGGGGGGAGGATGGAACCATGCGTTATCACGCCTTATCATGTATAACACAAGGAAACACATTGGGATAGTTTAGAATTTCTGAATTTATAAGAAAAATCTTTAATCTATATTTTACCTATTTTTACATTAAAGAGGGTGTTGACCCCGGCAGGGCGCTTGCATTACGCGCACAATTTTCTCACTGCTAGACATGAATGAAAGGGACTTTCACTTTTGACTAACAACCTTTCGTGGACCACAACATGTGGCATTGCAGACCGCCAGTTGGGCAACCGTGTTCTACATCATGAAGTCAAAACGATATGTTTTTATGCGAAACATGAAACCTAAGGATAAACATTTTATTTTTTTGTATTTGTACATGTAATAAACTGCTCTTTCTCAATGTGAAATTGCCAGGGATTCAGAGATCAAAATTTCATGCAGCTCACACTTGGAACAAAGGAGACCAAATTATGCATCACATCAAATATAGGGTTTCGACACTTAACATATTACTGCACTAAACCCTTATTGAAAGTTGAAATTATGTATAAACAGAATGTACATAAGTATGAGCCAGGTATTTCTTTTCAGATTAAAATTACAAAGTACAATTAACTGTGCATGCAAGATCACTTATTTCTTATATCACAAATTCTATTAATTAAAATTGGTGTCTAGTAGACTTACAAATATTCCTCAAGGTAAAGTGACAAGCTATAGTAATAACTACTGAATACATATTCACATTTGTTGTACAAGCAAATTACTTGATAAATGAACATGAAGGCAAAGGTGATAAACCAGGTTAATACATGGTACAACTAAACATACTAGCTGAAACTACTGCAATACATTTTTCTTACATCTGTCCTTTTTGCATTATTATGAGTGGAAACTGAAGGCTCTCTATCGGAACCAAAATGCTGACTCCGTTCTGATGTATCACTTTCTATTCGCTGAACATGTTGCTGATTATTGAGAGCTGAAAAACATACTTGGCATACATAACAATATCAATTAAAAAGAAACTAGTCACTAATTGTATTATAATTAGAAATCAGAAGTTAATGTAGCTCTGCAACTATAATATTGGGAGAAAGAAACTATTTGGAGGCTATTTCAGAGAAAGCATAAATTTCAATTTAGTGAAAGGACAAATGGTAAAATCCAGAAAACACTGCCTACTTATGTGACAAATTAATTACATCTAATGGACTTCCCTGGTAAGTAAAATTTTTGGGGACTATCAAGAGCAATTAAATGTAGCACCTCTATGGGATTCTAATTTAAGAATGACTGTTT